CAATTTAGCCTTTCAGGCTGTGTTGCAAGGTGCTGGTATTTTAATCACATGTCAACCTTGCCACCAGGAGGTAATTATGATTTTAGAATCCTGTTTTGGTTGTCATTCCCTTCTAGAGTCCTATGTTATTCAATGCTCACTACATTTACTCATTTAATCTTATTGTGGCCTAGCATTAATGTAATCAAGGTGCTGGTATTTTAATCACATGTCAACCTTGCCACTAGGAGGTAATTATGATTTTAGAATCCTGTTTTGGTTGTCATTCCCTTCTAGAGTCCTATGTTATTCAATGCTCACTACATTTACTCATTTAATCTTATTGTGGCCTAGCATTAATGTAATCACCTTGATTACATTAATGCTAGGCCACAATAAGATTAAATGAGTAAATGTAGTGAGCATTGAATAACATAGGACTCTAGAAGGGAATGACAACCAAAACAGGATTCTAAAATCATAATTACCTCCTGGTGGCAAGGTTGACATGTGATTAAAATACCAGCACCTTGAAACGTTCAGTAGAATGTAACTATCAAGGTTCATTACAGGATTGTATGATTTATCATATAATGATAAACAAAATATCAAAATCATATGACATTTAAATGATCAAAAAATCATTAAGTTAACAGTTTCCAGCTCTGGTAAGTTTTGATTTCTGGCTATAGCACTTATAAAAATGTGACCAAGTGGTGACATGGCCCAGGTAGTTAAACTTGTAGTGCAAGTTCTGGTTTCTGTTTCTAGTATCTGTCTAAAGCCTGACCATGTGGTAGTGTGGTTCAGGGAAGTTAAAATTTGTATGTTTAGAATTACAATGATTTTCAAACAGGTACTTACCCTTGAAATACTGAAAACCTTTCCTTGTTGAGCTGTAATTCATACAGTCAATAAAACATGCCACTAAAAATTTCCAAGTGTCTTTTACAAAATACAGAGCATGAGTTATTTACCCATAATTCTTTGCTCTGCAACTTTCCATGTGACTTATTACAGAAGTGTCAAGGGATCTTACATAATTTAATAATTTCAGTAGTAAATACTTGTTTACTTTAATTGTGAAAACCTGAAATTCAAATCCGTTAGAATCGCCTCTGAAATGCCGAAAGCGAGAATACCCACGTTGTAGTGGAGATGAGGACTGGTGAACAAGAAAACAAAACAAAAACATAAAACTGCAAGCCACATGGCAGGAATTTAATCCAGACTACAAGAAACAAGAAAAGTCTGATTAGAAACCAGAAGCAGAAATAATGTGCAGATCTTGATTCAAGAGAAAATAAGTGGAGTAAACCAGCCTCATAAACATACTGGACCTAAAGAACACTAATACAGAAGGCATTCTTCTCGGTAGGGTACCTCTCCACCTATGTTGTCCTTTATTTCAGGCAAATGGGTTGGTTTTGTAAGCAGTAATGGAGTACAAATGACCCAGGAGAGTGTAATAAACAGGTAGGAGGAATACTATGTCCTACTCCTGAAGTTGAAGGTTCTCAATGGAGCAGTCCAGACACGTATCATGAAAGGACACATTATAAAGGCTTGTAGCCCCTCTTCACCATATCAAAAACTAGCCAAATTTGTAGTCATTTGGAGACAATCAAAGAAAAACCACAGTAGTCCCTCAACAACATGAGGACGGTGCAAGGGGAACATCAAAACGTAAAGAAGTAAAATGGATGATCCCCATCCTGGTTGGGGGCCAAGACTTCTAGTTATAATGGTAGTCCTCTTTCCAGTATTTCTATTGCCATGCAAGAACATGCATTCAGAGGTAGGAAAGGTAACAACCATGGCATTCTCAGCCACAAGATGGCACCCTCTGTGTACTTCCAAAGGGTATCAGCCTATGATAAAGCTCCAGAATCAAGTTTTGTATGAGACAAATGCATAGGTATATGCAACATGTGAGAGCCCAAATTGTACAAATCCATAGAAAACTGAAGAGAAGAATCTGATGAACCCTAGAAACACAAAATGAATGGTCCATAGAAGGATAAAAATCTGAGATAAGACCCAAAAATCCAGAGAGAGGAGTCGCCCAGAGCAGAGCCAACGAGCGAGTCAGAAGAAAAGAACTATTTAGTCACATTATTTATGGAAATTAGGTTTACAGTATTACATCATATGCCTGTAATGAACCTTGATAGTTACATTCTACTGAACGTTTAAGAACTATTTAGTCACATTATTTATGGAAATTAGGTTTACAGTATTATATCATCACACATCATATGCCTGTAATGAACCTTGATAGTTACATTCTACTGAACGTTCAAGAACTATTTAGTCACATTATTTATGGAAATTAGGTTTACAGTATTATATCATCACACATCATATGCCTGTAATGAAC